CAAATGTAATTATAGAAGTGGCCAATTTTGAACCCGGCAGTTGCCAAACTGATGGCAATCATCTATTGGTTATTATTGTATAAGTATGAGCCCCAAAGCTGCTTCTTGTTCAAATTCTTGCCTCCAGTAGCTATGAAAATCCCTTTGCAATGTCACCGTGTGATTCTCACTTTTGGTCTCTGGCATCTATTGACAGAGTAGGGGAGGTACTCTGAAGGGATCCTCTAAACCTAAGCTTAGTCCCGCCTGCCGCAAAGGTTTAAGAGACTTGACACCTGCCCCCTCAAGCTCATTCCCCAAGGACAAGTCCATCTTCACTCTCCTCCATTCCCTCACATTCTCCAGACCGTGCCCCACCCCTCCTCCCGAGTCCCCGCCCTCCAACTCCAGGCTCCTCCAGGTTCAGGGCTAAGGGAAGTGTATCTAAGCTGTTCAAAGAACGTGCTGCAGCTGCCAGCACCCGTCCTGTGGCTGCTGGCTCATCCCAAGGCCTTTGATCACTCCCTTGCCTCAGGCCTCCAAGTTCCCGCTGAGACCACTGGCCCCAGGGACCCCTTCTCTCAAGAGGACTTTCTCCCTCCCAAACATTAATTTGCATTTCCCCCTGCTTTCTGCTACCCAAGCCCCCAGGGATGAGGTGACAGTTAAACCCCCACTTCCGCTAGTAGCCCCAGAGTGCTCACTTCCTTCCAGGTATTTTCCAGGCTGGGACAAGTTGAAAGTGTGGCAGTTGCTGGGTTGAGGGAAGAAAGGGTGAGAAATCCATTTTGGAGGGAAGCTGGTTTTCCCCACCCTGGTGTCTCAGGCTGCCCCTTACCTTCTCTCAAGCATCTCTCTAACACAACAGTTCTCAATCTGTGGGTTGTGACCCACAGGAACTGTATTAGAGGGCCACAGCCTTAGCAGGGTTGAGAACCACTGCTCTAACACAAGAGCTAAGCTGGCAGGAAGGAGAGTACACAGGCAGGAAGCAGCACGTACAAGCCCGTGAAATGAGCCTGCTAGCTACCTGACTTCTGACAGATAGGCCTAGGCCTCCATCTGCCATGGATGGACCCCCAAAGAAAGATCCTTGGGCTTCAAGTTCTGTGTCTACAACACCGTAATACCTGTCCTCTACCCTGAAAGGGAGTGTTGAAAATGGGGGGAGTCCCAAAGCCTAGAGGGCGTATATTTTTCATCATATTTCTCAGAGGATCTAGCAACACAGGACAGAGTTTCCTCTACTCAGTTCCTGCTTCTTGGGATCTTAGGCCAAAGGCAGAGCCAGTAAGTATAGGACATAAAGTAGTGGAGACCCCCTTCTTGAGATCAAGTGAGAGAAGCTGACCGCTGTCTCTGGACTCAGTCTTCTCACCCATAAAGTAAGGGACCAGACTTTTCCAGTCCTGATAGTCTATGCTCTGCCTTCACCAGGGCCTGAGCACTCTAGACCTTGCACACCCACTGGTGAAGGCTTCTAAATCCCCTTGGCCAGGGTAGGCAGCCATGTGCCCTCCTCCTCAATCTAAGCCTCACTGGCTCACCTTACAGCAACTGTAGCAATCTGGGACTGGGAGGGGGACAGCCACATATAAGCAACAGAAATAACAGTTGACATGCTGGTATGAATCTAAGAGGGAGAAAAATAATTAGTCCTGAATCATTTTACCTCATGATAAAAAAAAAAAAAAAGAGGTTTTTAACAATGGCTTTGAGCCAATGATAGGTTAAATCACATTCAGAATCTTGTATCCAAATAGCAAGGAAGTATATGATACATTTTACAAATTTAAGCCAGGTGCAATGGCACATGCCTATGGTCCCCACTTGTCTGGTGGCTGAAATGGAAGGATTTCTTGAGCTCAGGAGTTAATAGTCCAGCCTGGGCAACATAATGAGACCCCAACTAAAATTAAATTTATATCACAAAAAATGAGAACAGAAAGATTAAAAATCCTTAGTGCCTTTTTTAGTTTTAGCACCAGGTCTCTTGTGCTAACAAACATGGAAATGTTTCACTTTTGATATATTTACGTATGATTGATGTATTAGAACACCTATTATCCAACAGTGCTAGAAGGATGAAATTCATGCCACACCTATCTAGAACTTACCTAGAGGTAGACAACTTTGGATAATGACAATCCCTCACATATTCTCACTCTTAATAACTTCCATCTCTCAAATTGCTTTTACCTAAATTAATGTATTTGATTCTCACAACTACTCTAAGACAAAGACCACCAACCGCACATCTTTAAGTGAATTATTTATTTAAAGTATAATGTACAAACAGAAAAGTGAAAAAATTACAAGTTTTAACAATAAATTTTCAGAGAAGTAAACTGACCCACATAACCAACATCCAGATTAAGAAAACAAAACATAACAGCATCTTAGGTGCCTTTCATATGTTCACTCCCACCTGTCACAGGTAACAACTAGATTTATCAGTTGCATTTCACAGATAAGAAACTTTTTAGACAGGTAAGGTGACTTACAAGTCACACAGCTAGCAGCTGGGGGTGCAGGGAACAATGCTGAGAGGAAAGGACTCTGCCCTCAGTTAGATGTGCTTTCAAAACACAGGAGCCTGTGTCCCAGTGGGACGTGATGCCATCATCAAGCCGCAGATGGAAGGTGGGAGGTATGGAGTACAGGTCAGCAGGTGCCAGAGCAGAACAGAAGATGTAACTGGGGAACTGGTGAAGGCCTGGACTAGTTTCCCAGTGCTCTGCACAGGGATCCTTGAGTAAATCCCAAGATCTCCCTGGGTCATCACTCTGCCTCCATCTCTCTAGCTAATTTTAAGTTTGAGGACTAGAATAGGGGGAATAGGATGATTGGTAGAGCTCAAGGTATGGGAACAATGTGTTGTCACTTCACTCAACAGAAAGGTAATGCCTTATGCTGATTCTGTGGAACATTCAGGAGGGAACAAAGCTTGCTGTTTGGGATTGTTAACTATGTCAGAAACATGGGCCCTAAACTGGGTACCGGCATTGTTTCCTGAGCTAAGACTCCACTACTTGGTCATGGACAAGTCACTCTTAACTCTCTGAGCCGGTTTCCTCATCACTAAATAAGGATGTTAACATGTCCCAGGGGTTTTACGAGGATCAAATGGATGTGAAAACCTTTTGTCAACTGTAATAAATACTATTTACATGAAAGGCATTGCTGATATTAAATAAACATGAACCAGATGTTGAGAAAAAATTATTAATCTGTTCTTAAACATTACCTACCTGCCTCTTTCATACTACAGAGATCAGATGTGCGTGTGGGGAGTGGGGGACTGAAGACTTAGTAACAGTTTGTTGCCAGGCTGAAGCCACATGAAGAGCAAGTCCTTAGTCCCCAAACCCAGTGAGCCCAGCCTGCATATGGACCCTCACCAGCACACCATCATCACTGGGAAACTGCTGCCCAAGACCAGACGTCCTGACTCTTGCTCTATCAGCTACCAGTCCCTTTTTGGTCTAGAGGCTGCATTCATCAATGCATTGCCACTTAGCCCTTCACTTTTGGGGAAACCCTAACCCCACAGAATGTGGTAAGGAGTGGAGAAAGGGGAATAGGCAGGCAAGGGGAGGATGGCCTGGCTACTACTGTTCCTGGTCTGTCTGACTTGAGTGTGTCTTTGTTAAACAAGGAAGTTGCCTTGTCCTCGTGAAAGCTCAACTACTGAGCAAGAGACCAAGGAAGGAGAGATCGTAAGGTGCTGGGCAGATTCAGAACCTTAGCGTTCAGAATGGGGCTGAAACTTTGATCAGACACAATAGGCAGCACGAAGCCCTCATGTCCATGGAAATCAGGGCAGCAGGACCAGCACCTGAGACGCCCTCTTCTACATAGCACTACTGACTCCCAGGGCACCTTGAACCAAGTCCCCATCTTAGCTTCTCTGGGCTGCTAGTGGAGGATGGACTTCACCTTCCTGTCTTGGTTGAGTGGCACCACAGTCTCAAGCCTCAGAGAAGGCAAAAAAAAAAAAAAAAAGCTACAAAGAAAGTAGCTCCCAGGCAGAATCCACCTGGTAGTCTGCAGAATCCAGGCACAGCAAAAACCCACCCTCCCCCATCTTTAGCTTCCTGCAAGACTGACAGTTAGAGCTCAACTCAGTGTGGGGCTAAGGCAGACTGAGTGTGGTTATCTGTACACAGCTCATCATGCCTCCCCTCCCCACAAATGTTTCCATTCTCACAAAGCAACCACGTCCGGGTCAGACACCCAGGACAGCAGCTGGGGCTTTCCAAGGGACTTTCTGAGAAAGCCAGTGAAAGTTGGGTGTTGGCCGCACAGCCTGGGCATTCTTGCTGAAACCTATTTCTTCCCCCCAGAATGCAAGCTCTAGCCTGGGAGAGTTACTTTCAGATTGAAGTTGAACAGAAATCACCACCCATGGAGCTCTTTCAGTTTATAGGAATGGGGAAATCCTTGAGAACCTCAGTTTGGAATTTGGGTTATCAGACCATTTCCGCAGAGCTTGAAAGCACCAGAGAAACATTCTGGTTTGAGGACCCCTAAGTGGACTTGAACAGCTTGGCCAGTCCTAGGCACCTTTCCAAGGGCCTAACAGAGGACAAGAAAGGGGGTAGACAAACACCGGAAAGTCAAGTCAGCATCTCTCCTGTTGCCCACACACTCCAGGCCACAGGTAACAAGGGAAACTGACTCAACAGCAACACCAGGTGGCTAAGAGACACAAAGTCCTGGTATAGGCACCTGAGTCAGAGCAGCCCGCAGCTGTGGTTCTGGGGATTTCCCTCCACTATTCTGGCTGATTGTGCAATTATATATGTTGAAAAATGACTATCAAAAGGAAGCATATAAATTTTACTTTTTATAAGACTTATGTTATGAAACTGTCACACTGCTTCATTTCTATAATCATAAGAACCTTTAGGTAAATTGGCAAGGTGTGATCATTTCCAATTTACTGGTGAACAAGAAACTTAGGGAAATCAAAATGGGGATACTAACAGGATTTCTGTAGAAATTTAAGTAAATCAGAATTTATGGTGAATTTTTTTATTCTAAAACAAATAAACTCCCCTTCGCCAATTATGTGACATTACCCAAAGCTCCCTACTAGGCCACAAGAGGAAAGGAAGGATCCACCTCCTGTGAAGACACACACAAGGCAGGCCAGGGCCCAGCAGCCACCTAAGGCCTAAGGGTCTCTAGATAGAAGAATGTGAAATATGAGTAAGTAGCCTAAAGTATACAAAGAACAGTAAAAAGAAAACAAAGAAGGAAAAAAAGAAATAGTGAACATGGTTAAGAGGCAAAAGACATTAAGAAGCCTCAAGATTTCTTCAAGGGACACAGTTGTGCCCAGTTTAGAGGGCAGAAGGATACAACCACTAGATAGTGGGACTACCAGGCTGATGGGGCTACCCAGCGTGAGCACAGCAAACCTTCCTATGAACCAAGAAAGCACATTAGGAAAGGCTGCAACCCTGCAGGCTCAAGGACAGGAAAGAATGGGCAGAAGGGCCTCTGCTGCTCTGAGAAGGTGCCTACAGGGCAAGCAAGATCTTATTGCGCCTAGTTAAGAGAAAGGAAGAGGGAGGCAAGGCAGGTGTATGACCTTAATAATGTTTTAGAGTTTCACATTTACTGGCATTTGACCCAGAGTTCTACTGGTGGGCAAGGGTATAGCCCTGGGCTGTGGGTAGGAAAACCAGCATCCTACTCTTCCCTCAATTCAGTCTCTTGTTAATCTACCAACCCAAATCCCTCCCACCTCTCTATCGGTAGTCCAATGATAAAATGGCTCAGGGACATGATGGGCTGCTCTCTTAACAAATTGCTAAGTCTCAGGGGTGGAGGGTGGGGAGTATTTCAAGTTCTGCCCATTTAGATCCATAGCAAAAATAAGCAGAGGCAGGAAGTGGACAGCAAAGATGCTGGCAGTCCTGCATCTTGCTAGGTCTTTATAGCTGTGTCTCTGGATTTGTAGGCCACTCCTCGACTTTTCAGCTCCCGCACGATTCCTGTGGTAGGAAAAGAAACAGCTCCATAAGGGAAGATTTAGGAAGGGAAGATAGGTTCATCAGCTGCCACCTTGAAGGCGGCTATAAGCAAACCAGAGATCCTAGACTGCTCATCAACAGTCCTACTGGGTTGGCTTATGACCACTGAAGACCCAGGCATATGTTTAGCTAACAATGACATGGTGAGAATGACAAGAAAAAGGGGAACATATGTAGTCATCAAAAGCAAAGGTTCCAGGTTGACTGCAGTGGTGCTATAGTCCCAGGTACTCAAAAGGCTGAGGTGAGAGGATCAGCTGAGCCCAGGAGTTTGAGTCCAGCCTGGAAAGGTAGCAAGACCCTATCTCTAAAACAATAAAAATATACAGGGGTACAAGTGAATCTTTCTAAGAGTAGAATGTGAATGTTTTAAAACAATAACTGAGAAAATGACACGAAGGCTCTGTTGACCAGTTTGATGGAAGTATTTCGGATTGTATGTGAAAACCCCACACTGTACCCCAGAAGTGCATTAATGTACATAGTTACCATTCAATAAAAATAAATAAGTAAATGAAAAATAAAAAACAATAAAAATAAAACAAAATAAAAAAGAGCAAAGGTTCAGCATCTAGAATACATGGGTTCAAATCCCGGCTAGTCACTTATTAGCTGGGGACCTCATGCAAATTATTTAACCTCTCTATGCTTCAGTTCCCCTACCTGGAAAATGCAGAATCTCATGGAGTTTTGAGGACTGAAATTAATTCAGATAAAGGACTTCCACAGTGACTAGTACAGTAAATGAACGCTGGCTATTATTATGATTATTATTACCTTGGGGCAGGCGACCAGTGACTGATACTGCATACACACCTGGCTTAAAGTTACCTGAGAGAGAAGAAAGGAGATTGCAGTGGGAGTGAGTTAAGACTGACAATCATATGGAGACTTAAGCTAGAAATGGAATAAGTGCTGCAACTCCAAGAGAAGAGCCATCACTTCTTTAGGCTACAAGTGTCAAATGACAAGAACACTGGACACTGCCTCTTTGTCTTTCCTACAACCTCATCTTTACCATGGTGAGACCACTAACTCTATTGAATTAAGAGTCTCCCATGGATCTGAGGGACAATAACACTACAGCCAGGTCAAGATAAGGAAAAAGGGAAACACTTACTGACTCGCTGCCACTTGGAAACCCAGCTGTCCTCTGGACTCATCATTGCAATGATTCTAAGGAGAGAAAAGAAATGGAAAGTCAGTCTGAGCCTCCCCTACTATAGACGAAGGAGACCAAGGAAGATGCTCAGCCAGCACAACAGTTCAGAAGAAACCTAGAAAAAAAGCCAAGTATTGAGTCTCCACTGGAAGGCAGGGAAAACTGAATTCTAATGCCAAGAAGGGATTGACTTAAAGCTACAAAAGTCCTTCTTTCCTTAAGCCCTTGTCCTGACATTCACAGGTTAGTCACCATCTCCCAAAATTATTTCACTAGGCTCAAAAACAACCTTAGCCTACAGATTCCCTAGGAAATGGACAGCTTTAACACTAGAAGGCCAATACTACTGCCTACAGCTAATACAACCACTAGGGGCATGAGGCCTAAAGCAAAGGGAGGGTGTGTCAAAACAATGGCTCCTCCTACCTGAAATGACTTAAACTGAGCTCTACCCCTTATGAGCTGTGCAGCCAGAAGCACAGATGGGGACCTCTCTCAGAACTTCATCAGTAAGATAAGATTCAAACATTGAAATATACATAAAAAATACCTAGTGCAGAAACTAGCACAGAGTAGGCACTAAATAAGCATTAGCTTTCCTTATTATCCTAATAGTCCTTCCCAGGTAGCTCTGATTCCAGAGGACCAGTAACAGGATATTCAAGGGCTAACCATCAGGGTCATATCTGTCACCTATGCATTCAATCAGATGCTCATTGATTTGACTTGACCAATTGTGTCAAGTCTCTTCTGAGCACTGATAATCACTGCTTGTCTCCTCATACCCATCCCCTCTTCTCTTGGCAACAACTTTAGATTCTTATTTGGGGAGACTCCCATACCATCTGAACCCTACATTCTCAACCATGCTTTAAGTGGAACTGACTCTCTCTCCAGGGATGACCACTGCTCATCATAAGTAGGATAACAATAGCCCCATGGCCCTGAAGACTGATGTGGGATATAGGCTATGTACAGGCAGGTATACAGGCTAATCTTCTGGCTACAAGTTATAGTCTTCTCTGTCACAGTCTATCTTTCTAGCCTTAGAGTTCTTACTACTCGATGTTATGATTTACCCTATGATTTATCAAAATTACCACTGCTCTCTTGGCATACTGTTTTTTTCTACCCCTTGTTCTTTTTTTTCTTTTTTTTTAAGACAGAGTCTTACTCTGTCACCCTAGATAGAATGCTGTGGTGTCATAGCTCACAGCAACCTCAAACTCCTGGGCTCATGTGATCCTCTTGCCTCAGCCTCCCAAGTAGCTGGGACTACAGGAGCCTGCCACAACACTCAGCTAGTTTTTCTATTTTTAGTAGAGACACAGTCTCACTTTGTTCAGGCTGGTGGAATGCTCTAACTCTCTCTCTTACTGCCACTTCCTTAAAAATCCCATACTTTTTTCCTTAAGAAAGTGCTACCTCCTCCACTTCTGGTTAAGGTCATCTAGCCCTCCTCTGATCTTTAGCTTTTTATTTGCCCACTCATTAAGACCTAATATGTACTACAGTATACAAATAATTCTTACAACCCAACAATAAAAAGCCAACCAATTATATTAAAAAATGGGCAAGGTGCTTGAATAGACATTTCTCCAAATATACACATTTAGCTGATAAGCCCGAGTTGTTCAATATCACTAATCATTAGGAAAATGCAAATCAAAACTATAATGAGATACAAATTCACACCCATTAAGATGGCTGTCGAGGAATGAAAAATAGTACAGCCTCTGTGGAAGACAGTATGATAGTTCCTCAAAAAATTACATACTGATACTCGAAGCTTGTTTTTGATAATTAAACATTGAAATGTCATATGATTTAGCAATTCTACTTCTGGATATACAGATAATCCTTGACCTAAAGATTTTTCGATTTTATAATAGTACAAAAATAAAATATATTCAGTAGAAACTGTTTTTGAATTTTGATCATTTCCCAGGCTAATAATTTGCAGGTAATGCTAGGCAGGGGCAGTGAACCACAGTGAACACATGTAAGGTAGGCTAGGCTAAGCTATGATGTGTGAGTGGTTAGACATATTAGTATATTTTTTTTACTTTACCCAGATTTATCGGGCCGTAACTCCATAGTGGGTTGAGGAGCATCTGTACCCAAAAGAATTGAAAGCAGGGATTTGAACAGATATTTGTACACTCAAGTTCATAGCAGCATTATTTGCAATTGCCAAAAGGTAGAAACAAGCCAAGTGACCACTGATGAATAAATGAGTAAACAAAATCTGGTATATAAACCTACAGTGGATTATTATTTCATTGAATAAGGAAGGAAATTCTGACACATGCTACAATGGATGAACTTTGAAGATATTAGATTAAGTGAAAGATGCCAGACCCACAGCATGCTACATATTCTATGTTTCCATTTATACCAGGAACCTAGTCAAATTCAGAGACAGAATGGTGGTTGCTACAGGAATGCGGAGTCCAGTCAATCTGGATACAAATGAAAAAAGTTCTGGAGACGACAGTGGTAATGGCTGTACAACAGGGTAAATGCCACTGAACTACAGGCTTGCACATAATTTAAATGTCCGCTGTTATGTATATTTACAATTTAAAAATGCTACATATATTTTGCTACAATAAATAAAATTCCTAATATGCAAAACTTCACACTATATCTCTCTTCCTAGAAAAGTACTGCATTGCATAACTCTTGATATCTCTTATGCTACTTTACCCATAAATGGGAGTGGAGTCCCTTCATTCATTTATTAACTTGGAATGGTATTGTGCTAACAAAGGGACTGGAGTTAGTGTGCATGTGCACATGTACAAAGATTCCATTCATATGGAACCTCTTTTCTACCCAATCCTTTATTCGTCCCTAAAGGAAATCAAAGAAAAGAAATGATATTGGCCTACCTTGAAAGAACTTTATCGAGTACTAAGTTTGAACCCAGTTTGTATAGAAACCCTTAACTTGGCCTACATGCCAAAAGAAAATAGCACCTTTTTAACCTCTAAAGAATACGATCCTCTGCCTCCTAAAGGGAAATGAGACCTAGCCACTTGAGTTTTGTCCATTTCCCCCTTTTCCCACTGAACAACCTTACCAAGGAAAATTTTTCTTACTAGACCTCTTAGAGATCTTGACCTAAAAGCATCAACTTTGGATAAATAATCTACCATTACTGAACCATCCCTTCCCTGCATTTTCAAAAATAGATCTTCCTGCATTCAACAAACAAACATTTATTAAGCATCTACCACTTTCAAGAGGCTGCACTTGGCAGTGATGCATCTCTACCATCAATTAGCTGACAGTCTAGTGAAGTAGTGTTGAATAGAAATACAATAAAAGCACACATCATTTTAAATTTTCTAGCAGCATGTTTAAAAGAGTAAAGATAAAAAGATGAAATTAATTTCATTATTCCATATCAAGGTTACAATATTTTACATTCTTTTTTCTCATGCTAAATCTTTAAAATCTGGTGTATAATGTACACTTAAAATATATCCTAATTTGGACTAGGCACATTAAAATGCTGGACAGCAACTGTATTAGACATGTCTCTAAATAACCGTCTGTAGACCAACAAGCATTATAATCTTAAAATTGTCTGCCCCACATTTACTTCTTGAGGTGGAGTGATGCAGAAGTGAATAATGGAATCTGAAAGGGACTTACCCATCAAAGGACGAGCTGGTGCAATCATATACCATCTCTCGGTTACCCTTCATCTGTAAGTATGCATCACAATTGTCACAACCGTCATATTCAAACTGGTCTATGGTCTGGTGTGGGAGGTGGATGGGAAAAGGAGAGGTAAGCATGAAAAAGGCCAAAAGAAAAAGCAGCTTTCTCAATACTTCGATCTGGTCAACTTCTTAGTTCCCTGTGTTGGCGTTTGTCTCATCAAGTCCCCCATCTGCTATTTCTAAAACTCCATTCTAAAGTTCCTCCCTCCCACTCCCTCCTCTCTAGTTCCTAATTCTGTTTTACTTATTCCTTTCTCTATTCTCTAGTCCCTTCAGGGTCAGACACCCTCTCGGCTGAGGCTCTCCACCCTCCTCTGACACCCCAGAGCTCATAACTCCATTGTGGGTTGAGGAGCAGCATCTGTATACCCAAAAGCATTGTGTTGTCCTTCGGCTCCAACATAAAAAGCTCAACGAACAGCTGATAAAGGGCCTGACCTGCGCTAAGAGCTGAGGATTCAAAGGCACGTTATACCATCCATACCCTCAGTTGCAACACCTGCCCGCGTTTCTACGACATAAACAAGGGCCTCCTTCGGTTCCAACTCCCCCTACCGCTTCCCGGTGTCCTGGACCTTACTTTGAGTCTCTTCACTGTCCTACCGGCCTCGTTCCACCCTCTTTCCCCCACCTTGGTCCCCCAGCGCCCCTACGACCAGGTCCCCGACAGACACCTTGACCAGCGAACACAACAAACAAGCCCGCAGATGCCGCAAGTCCTTGGGCACCGTCTCCAGAGCCATCTTCTCCGACGGGACCAACAACAACCAGGAATACTGCTCCGGCTTCCTGCCCCGCCGGAAGTAAACAGCTCATTACCCAGCATGCCAGCCACTCCTGGCACCTGAGACTTCCTCTTCCGGTGTGGGAGGGCGCCGGCCCCGCACCTCCCCCTGCCCGAGGAGATGGTTTCTCCCACCGGGTGGGGGGGCGGCCGGGCGAGGCGGGGAGGTCTCTGGGCCTGTCAGCGGGCCCCGTGGGGGCGGCGCATGCGCGCGCGCGCCGGGCTGGCCGCGGCCGGAGACGGAATGTAGCAGCCGCGCGGGCCGTTTGATCTAGGCCGCCGGGTCTAAGCCGCAGTCGCCTGCTCCGCTAGCCGGGATTCTTTTTCGTCTTCCCGTTTTACAAGCACTGGGGCAGTGGCCGGGCCCTGTCCGCAGGGACCGAAAACAAATCCAAGGACACCCCCCTTCTTACTATGCGAGAGCACTATGGGGTTTCCATCTTGCCATCGACAGGCATGCTGGCCCGTGGGCCGATGGCGGAAAACGTGCATATTTAGTTTTAAACGCTTTGTGTATGTGTGCGCGTTCCCGCTAATTTATATTTTGTGTAGCTCTTCGCATTTAGACAGTTCCTTTACTGAAGAACATCTGTAGGACATGAGGTGTCCTTCAATTTTTTTTCTCATTTTCACCCTAAGCTAAAGCTAAAATGTCTTGCTCTTGGGATTCACAGCCGAGTGCCAGACAACCACTACCCCTACCAAACCTTTCCCCGAGAAGTAGAGGGGAAATTGTGCAGTACGAGGCGAGCAAAGGGCCTAAGGAGAAAGCACCTGCTCGCTGTCCTGAATGCCCAGGTGTGTAGGCAGAGCCTGGTCATTTGTGTTTATCTGAATGGGAACTCGGGGATATAAAACGTTTTAGGCCCTGCTGTTGCATTGCAGCCTCCTGATTGAAACTGAGTTTCTTCAAGAGAGGCCTGCTTCTTGTTGCTGGTCCCATGCTGTGGGCTCTGTGACCGGGGTTTGGATGTTTTCTATCACTGAATAATAACTTTCCACTTTGGAATGTGTTTTCTCTGCTATCTCTTGTAAACTCTGCAGTAACTGTGAAGTAGGTTCATGTTTATGGATGCAAAAGGTGAGGCACAGAGTATTGGCCCGAGGTCACAAAGTTAAGTCACTGAAGCATCTTAAATTGAAGCGTGGAGTGAACAGTACAGTAACATAACTGACCCACGTTGAGAATCCGGTCACGCTCCTTCCTCCATCTAAGCCAGTTTTTTTAGGAGCTTACAAACCAGTTCTTGTTGCCACCCCCTACTACCCCATCCTTTCACAAATCAGAGCCTCGCCTCCAATATCAGAGATGATTACTCTTCGTGTAGGAGATGAAGTTGTTACCCTGAGTGACAGTCATGACAGAACAAAACCACAAGACTGGATTGCATTTATGGATAAATATATTAGCAAATAAATACATTTTTCAACATAGTGCCTGATTCAAGCGTCTTTCTGTCTGGTTCAGATATAAATACCCATGTGGGTGCCTAGGTGCTATTCTCCCCACTGACTAAGGGAAGAAGGTTCCCAAGTGGGATCTTGTGTGTGTCCTCTCTGCCCCCACATTCACATTCCAAATGAGATAATGCCTGAGGGACCAGCAATAGTCAGGCTGCCCTGGGGTGAGTGTCATCCTCGGGAGGCCCCTTAGCCCTTGCCCACTTGGTATAAGCTGCTTGGCCTAGACTCCCTGCCCAACTATACTCTGGCATACACACCATCCTGTGGGGCCCTGGCCTGTGTGGCTTATACTGGGGGAGCTGGGCTTCTGAGCCCTCCAAACCCAAGAGTCACACTTTGCTTTTCCTCTGTTCTCCATCCCTGCTCTGAAACAAAACTTTTAGAGAAAAAGCCTTTGTCTCTGCTCAGCTATAATTCTGCTTTTTCTACCTTCACTCCATCCTTTCTCTTCCCAGATGAACTCCAGCAGACATTCTCTCCTTTGGGACTTTGAGACAGGAGACCTTCAAGGAAGATTTTTTTTCCCTACCCACTATCCCTATTCCCAACCCCCAGAGGAACTCCAGGTGCTGGAGTCACAGGGAATTTGAAGATCAGTGGCTTCATTCTGGGTCCTTCAAGGTGCTGAACCCACCTCAGGTTTAGAACTCCACATCCTGGCTTCCCAGAGGCCAGTCTTAATAAGTCAAGTTTTATTTTGACTTAATATAGTGGCTCTGACAATTTAAGAACCATTTAAGGACAAGAAAGGAGAAACATCCTCCATTATGCACCAGGGCAGACACTGCCTGAAAAAGCTTCAGAGAGCCCTCTTTTTTAAGGCTCAGGGCTCACCTACACTCCCGGTCCTTTTGACAAAGAAGGAAAATGATAGAGCCAGAGTTGCCCCTGATGTAGCAGCTTTACTGTGGAGGGGCCAACGCTCTGCTGGGGAAGCAGGTAATAAAGGGTCATGCGTTCTGCTGAACCCGTTGGCTGGTATGAACATGAAAGCCTGGGACAGGGAGACCTTGTAGGACTGGGAGAAGGAGCAATACCTCTGTCATACCTAGCTATCCCTATCAAGCTGTCTGCCCTGAAAACACTCAGCCTTCAGGGGATCTAGCCCACACATGCACGCAGGCTGTAGCTGGTTGCCTGGCTGCACACAGAGTTGTTGTACTGCAGATGTGTTCTGCAGACAAGGTCTGAAACTGGGAGCAGGAAACAGCACCTCCCATCCCCCACCATCACCACTCCTCTTTCATTGCTTCCAGGAAATGTGGCGGAAAAAAGGGGTGTTTGCCAGGGTCCTTTCTTCTTCCAGGCGTGGGACTCTGTACCAGGTAGGCCCCAGAGTCATCCAGAGCAGATTCTTGGTTGAAACTTGACCGGAACATCTCACACAGCCTGTTCACACAGCTCCTCGAGCTCCTCCTCTGAGCCTGTATATAGAGAGAGGAGAGGAAAGAAGCCATTGAGAGTCAGGCCAGGTTCCTGTTTCTCCCACCTGCAGGACAGGGTGGCTGAGATGGGACCACAGAGAGGGAGGAGCAGGGAATGTTTCTGGAAAGGGTGATTCGTTTGACAGCTGAGAAAGTCCCCAGTTGGACACAGGGGACAGTAAAACAAATCTAGAGAAGGGAAAACATCTGGAGCAACCAGTAATACTTACTATTCATTCATTCACTCAACCAATATTTATTAAGCATTCATTGTGAATTTGGCCTGCTACCATGTGCCAAATAGAAGAACAAAAGGAATAAGCAGGAGGCTGATTCCTCATAGGGCAGAAGGTGTGCATGCAAATGGCTGTCATGCCAATAGGCAGGACAGAGGTCATAAGAGATGCAGCAAGGAAGGGGAGGGACCGTGTCCAAGTGCAGCAATCAGCAATGCCTTCCCAGAAGTGGGAAATAAATGAGCTGGTCCTGAAGGAATAGCCAATAATTAGAATTATGGGAATAGAGAAGGCAGGAGGATATTCTGGGCTTCAGGAGCTACAAGATGTATTTACCCAGTTTGGCTAAAGCATGAGGAAGAGAAAGGGAAGAAAAAGAGCTGAAAATAAGGCTGGGAAGGAAAAATGCGTGGAAAAAGGAGGCTGGCTGGTACCGGAGCCTTGAAGGCCACAGCGGGTTGGATTTTTCCTTAACTATGGACAAAACATAACTTTTGAAGATTTTTAGACTGTCTTCCTGTAAGGCAGAAGACTCTGGCAGCAGTGTGGAGGGTAGGGGAGTAGGGGAGCTGTGCTGCACGACTCTGTGGGACATGATACTGGATATGCAGCCTGAAGAGAGAAGTGGAGAGCTAGGAGGCTCCTGCATGAGCTTTAGGCTACACCAACACACAGCCTGGCAGGGCCACAGTTCCAGACTTGTGGGGAATATGAGCAAGCTAGCAGAGATACAGTTAACAGAGCCTAACCCTGACTACAACTGGATGTGAGGAAGGAAATGGGAGGCACTGACACTACTTCTGAGTTTGGGAGAAAAGGGACGGGGGTGTCTGGTGCTGGTAGCACTGCAAGTATATCCACCACAGGGTCCAAACAGAATCATCCAACACGAGGCTTGCATCATCTGCTGGACTGTAACTGTCTGCATGCCTGTCTCTCTCCACAGACCTCAGTTCCTGGTTGGCAAGTTCCATGTCCTCAGAGCCCAGCCTGGATCCCAGCACAAAGCAAGCATACAATGAGAATGAAGAAAGGATGGAGAAAGGGAGGGAGGAAATTAATGAAGACATGAATGAATGAATGAATAACAGTTCTCCAAAGTTCTGCCTGTAGGACTCCTGGACTGGGAGGTCCTATATTTCAGAACCTTTGGGTCCACTTTTGGGGTAGAAGGGATTCTCCCAGCTATGGCTGTGCTATCCCCACAATGGAAGACAAGGAAGAGTGGGAAGTAGAAGGCCCCAAGAGGGGAAGAGGAGTATTTGGGCAGATAGATAACAAGTTAAAGCTAAGAATTTACATTGTCACCACTGATTATAATACAGGAATGCACTGAGTCTCCAACAAAATGAGGCCAGTCTTATTAATAAAGATGTTTGGAAGTAATGTCCTGCTTGTCCTCTTACCATAAGGGGAGAGTAAGCCAAGGACCAACAGAGCTGCAGGGAACCTCCTTTCTTTTATTTATTTATTTATTTACTTTGAGACATTCTCACTATGTCACCCTGGGTAGAACGCTGTGGAGTCACAGCTCACAGCAACCTCAAACTCTCAGGCTTAAGCAATTCTCTTGCCTCAGCCTCCCAAGTAGCTGGGACTACAGGCACCTGCTACCATGCCCAGCTACCTCCTGTTTTATATTTTTTCTCATCATTCACATGGCTCTTCTCATGTAGCCTAGCTGTGAGGTTACCTGTAATTATTTCTCTTACAAGACCATGTTCCCTCCAAGGAACAATTCTTGACCCACTTTGTATTTGGGGCTAATGTTACACTGTGAGCATTAGTAGAGTTGTACCAATTATTACAACATTCAGATATTTATGTTTGAACTGCAGCCCCAAATGACTCCAGGTGCCTTTCTGATACCTTAGCCACATTAGTACCTTCCTGGTGACCTCCCTGTGATCTGCCAACTAAAAGGGTGGCGCCCGACAAAGCCAGCCTGCTATGCTGTGCTGGTGGTTCAGTGTTTTGAATATCACCTCTTCCGTATCCTTTCTCAGCTTCCATCAACCCCTTATTGGCTGACTTCACTTTTCTTGCAATGTCTAGCTCTAGTCTCCTTTCCCGACCACATGCGCACCCCCTGAAAACTCACCAGGCTGGGCTGGCAGCACCTGGCAGTGTGGATAAGGGCATGGTCTGCCCTTAGGATTGTCAGAACTCCATTCAGAAGGTCCCTCCCCACGTGGGTGTGGTCCGAGGGGCCTGCGTGGAGTCAGACACAACCACACTGGCTGTGAATTTGAGTAACAGGGGACTGAAGTTTCTGGTATCAGCCTCCTGTCCAGGCCTGGAGGTCCAAAGATCAAGGGGTGAGCCTCTGGAGACCAGGAATATGCCAGGCTGGGGCTATAATGGGGAAAAATCTGGCAACTTGGGTGCACAGTCAAGTCCTGGGGCTGAGAGGCTGGAGTGGGCTCTGAAAGACCCCCCCGCCGTTTCCTCTGTGGGTGTCGGACAGAGAGGGTGGATTTCTGCAAGCTGAAGGGACTGCTAGGATTGGGACAGGGGCTGGAGGCTTCGGTTGGGTCAGGGAGCTCAGGGAGGGCCGTGGGCCATAGTGGGTTGGAGAGCTCTCCAGAAGGGGCTGCTGAGTTGGACCTGATGACTTGCTGATCAGAAGAAGGTGGCTCTGGCTGGGGCTGTGTCCGAGGAACAGCAGGCCTGGAGTGCTGGACCCCAGTTTCTGGGCCAGGCTTCCTGCCATGCCACCGAAACCGCTTTTTGTAGTGGTGGTGCCGGTGCCGGTGGTAGTGGACATGGCTGGAAACCTCAGCTTCCCCTATGGGCACCACCGAGTCCAAGGAACGGGGCCGAGAGGTTATGCGAGGCTGCGTCTCCTCCCCCTGCGGATCCCTTTCAGGGCTGCAGTACACCAAGGGGTCAAAGTCACTGCTCAGGGAGCTGCGGAAAGTAGAACTGCTGCCATGGATGCCTTGAAGGCTGATGTCTGTGCAGTTGACCACTGAGTCACTGGAAGAGCCATGACAGGGTCCTGAGCTGGAGTCACTTGCTGGCCCATCTGCCAGGTATCCACTGCGTTCCGTGCAATAACTTTCTCCAGACCCACTGCTATCATGAGGTCTGGCCCGGCGCAGGGGCACCGGGCAAGTTGTGGGGTGCTGGGAGGTACACTGGTGGCGGCTTAGCCCCCAGGCCTGTGCAAAGGGGTGCTGGGCCACTGCCAGGCGTTGCTGTTCACCTGGAACCCGGGAATGTGCAGCTCTGGGGAGGCGGTGGTGCCGAGCGCCCATGCCTGGCTCCTGAGATGGCAGAAAAGGACCAGGTCGTGGGGGCTGAGCCATTGCACTCCGAGAAGGGCCCAACAGGTAGGTAGCAGGAAAGTGGTAGTGAGCGTGGCCAGGATGCTGACGAATGAGATGGAGTCTCCGACCTGGTTCTTGGTAAGATCGAGAGGGTCCCAGGGGCTGGGAAAATGAATCTCCTTCTGGAAAACAGAAACAAGAACACAGGTGTTTAACTCCACAAACCCACAGAGAAGGCATTCAGAGAGGTGTGTCTGTAGCTGACCTGCTGGACTCTGTGTAGCTATGAGCCTGAGTCTGAGGGACCAAGGACATCCTCATCTGCCTGTGCCCTGGGAGTCCCTTAGTTGGGTCTGCCCTGAGAATCCCACTGTACACATCGATCTCTGCTCCTCTCACCAGCCATGTGGGGCTCTTTCACCCAGGGCCACTGCTGGCCCACTGCTAGAAAAAAGTTCTCTTTCCTAAAGATATTTATTTCACTTTTACCTTTTAGAAAATTGTCATAATACATACAGTTTTTGTTAGAGTAGGATACTTTAGCACCAGAAAATTTGAATAATAAATATCTAAGTCCCTCAGATTTACAATGCACTAAGGTGTCGCAAAATAATTTTTGGTTTTTTGAGATAGAGTCTCACTCTATCACTCCATCTAGAGTACAATGGTATCATCATAGCTCACAGCAACCTCAAATTCTTGGGCTTAAGTGATCCTCCTGCCTCAGACTCCTGGGTAGCTGCAGCTACCAGCACTCACCACAACATCTAGCTCAGTTTTTCTATTTTTTGTAGAGACAGTGTCTCACTCTTGCTTAGGTTGGTCTCAAACTCCTAACCTCCTAATCTTCCTGCCTTGGCCTCCCAAAGTGCTAGGATTCTAGGCATGAGCTACCATGCCCAGCTACAAAATAATTTTTTATTTCTATTTTTTAACTTAACTTGTATTAAATCATAACTATATACATTTATGGGATACAATGTGATGATCTGATCTACGATGTGGGATGCTTAAACTAATTAACATAAGCATCACCTCACTTACTTTTGTGGTACGACATTTATAATATACTCTCAGTTGTCTTGAAATGTAACCTTGCATTGTGTACATTAGGTGAGATCGAGCCAGATACCCTCCCTTCACTCGCCCTCCCACCTTTCCCTCTTCTTCTCTCTTTCTTTCTGGACTATCTTTGTAGTTTATCATTCATATGAATGTGTGTTTATATATTGGTTTCATAACAGTATTGAGTATATTATAATAAAGGCGTCTACCTTGTGAAAAGCCCTCTCTCTCAGGCAAGGCACTCTTAAGAAGTCCGCAGTATAAATGACTACCATGGAAGTTCTGTTTTCTTTTCCCCTTTCTCAAAGGGAACCCATGTTGTAGACCCATCTGCCTTGGCCCACCTCCTACCTACGATGTTGAACATGCAGAGGGGGCAAGTCCGGTGCTGATATAGCCAGGGGTCCACACAGGTACGATGAAACTCATGGAGGCAGGAAATGACCCGTAACTCCTGGAGAAAAAAAGGGAGTCCAAACCAAAGGTTTCCATAGAGAGGCCAGCAAACAGAAAATTCCCCTGATTCCTTCTGACCTCTCCTTCTTGCTATCACCTATTTGCAAATGACCTCACAGTAGAATAGAAAGGGTATGAACTTTAGTATCAAAGCTGGATTTTGCACTTAGCTGCACGGCCTCATGCAAGTTTTTTTGCTGTGACATGAGGATGAAAAACTAATCTATCCCCACCCTTCACTGCCATGAGGTTAAAATGAGATAGTGCTGGTAAAGTACCACTGTAGCCTGGCACATGGTACCCTCTGAACAAACAGTGGTGCTCTTTCACTGGCAGGCCCGCAGGCAATGACCAAACCTCAGGGCGATCTCCTACCTGGGCCCTATGCAGGATATACAGGACATAGATGTAGCCAGAGCTCCCCTTATAGCTCTAAGCCTGCCTGCCCACATCACGGCTTCAATCTCCCTCCCTGATCTGGTCACAGAGGTGAACCACAAGGCCTGCCTTACCTGGCCCTCAGAGAACTCCTCCAGACAGATGGCACACACAGGGGCAGAGCTGCAGCTGCTACCTGAGTCTGGCTGCTCCACATGGGCCCTCCTGCAGTTGGCCTGGTACGTCCTGGTGGCCAGCTGGCTGATGGCCCAGGCTGTTCGCTGCTGCAGGGGATCCTGGGCAGAGGCATGGTGCTCAAAATGGGAGAAGGGCCCCTCTTCCCTCACCCCTGGACCCCAGCTTGGACTCAGTTCCTTATTACACAGTCAGATCACACAGTCAATTGACCATCCCTGGGAGTTTGTCCCCTTGGAGCTCATACGTGGCTCTTTAAAGTAGGCCAAGCCCTCCCAGTCCACCCACCTGCTCACATCATTAGCTTTCTTCCCTGATGACCCACAAGACGAACTTTTTATCTAACTTCTGCTTGGCATCTCAACTTGGACATCTAATAGGCAAGACAAACTTAACATGCCCCAAACCAAACTCATAATCCTATTAGCCACTCCCAAGCACACGCCTGTCCTCCCCGAGTCTTCTCCATTTCAGCAAATGGCAATTCCATTCTTTTAATTGCTCTGGCCAGAAATCTTGGTGCCATCCCTGACTCTTCTGTCTCACACCCCACAATTAATCCATTAGTAAACCACTAAACCTGTTGGTTTTGCTTTCAAAATATGTCCACAACTTAACTATTTCTCACCATTTCACTGCTACCTCCCTGATCCACCCAGATACCTGTAATAGCCTCTGAGCTTGTTTCTTGCCTCCCTATAGTCTATTCTCATTACAGCAGCAAGAGCAATCACACTGAATGTTAAATCAGATCATGGCACCCCTTCTCTCAAAACGCTCCAACGGCTCCCCAGAGTGAAAAAGACAAATGGCCTAAACCATCCAATCTAATCCAATCCAATCCAACTGAGCCCCCACCTCCTATTCCACCCTCTTCTCTCACTCTATTCCAGCCACATGGTTTTCCCGCTATTCCTCAGGCGTGCCAGGCATACTTCTGGCTCAGAGCCTTTGAACTTACTGCTATCTCTGTTTCCATCACGTTCCCCCAGATACCTGTGCATATTACCCTCTTACCCACTTAGGGTCTTTGCTGTAATGTCACCTTCTCCACGCAGCATTCCATAGACTTGCTTTTGAAATCTAACCTTTCCCCATGCATTCCTTCTCCCCTTTGCCATTTTGTTTTAGAGACAGGCTGGAGTGCAGTGGCACAATCACAGCTCACTGTAACCTCAATTTCTGGAATCAAGCAAACCTTCTGCATCAGCCTCTTGAGTAGCTAGGACTACAGATGCATGCCACCATGCCCAGCTAATCTTTTTTTGTAGAAGTGAGGTCTATGTTACCCCGGCTGGTCTCTCCTCCTGCCACCGCCTCCCAGAGTGCTGGGATTATAGGCATGAACCACCATGACTGGCCCATTTTGCAATTTCATTTTTCTCCATAGCACATATCACCATCTAAAATATTATACTATTTTCCTTGTTTGTTTTGTTGATTGTCTGTCTCTTGTTACTAGAATAAAAGCTCCTACAGGACAGGGAAATTTTTTGTCATTTTTTTTCAATGTGTTAACACCTCAAACAGTGCCTAACACATGATAGGGGCTCAGTCTATTTGTTGAATGAATGAATGAATGAATGAGCAATATGGGGAGAGGCTGCTGGAAATCAACTAAAATGGATGCTGGGGCATCTTGATGCAAACTGTTTCATGGGCATAAAGGAAGGCCTGCCTTCCTCATTTCCTTCTTCCTGCTCTCCACCCTCCCACTGACATACACACATCCAGCTCCCCCAGAGAGCCCACGATGCTCACCGGCCTGCTGTGGCAGGGACGGCACCGGATGCGCAGCACTGAAGCCAAGATGACCACAAAGATGGTACCCACCACTGTCAGGAGGATCCACACATCATAATCTGGCTGGGGGAGTAAGCAGAGAGGGAGTCAGATTTCTAGAAGGAGCTGGGCCTAATTTGGAGGAAACACAGGAGATCCGGAAACCTACACACAGATGGAGGTTCCCTGTGGGAGTAGATGGGTCCTCTCTGCCCAAACGCACTCACAGGAGAGGGTCCTCCGGATGTCAGCTGTGAGAAATACTATCTGAAAATCTGTGCGCTTGGGGGAAAGGAGAAAAGCGAGAGCTACTTGCTAGTGAACAACGGGGTGAGGTTGCAGGCCAGTGGAGAAGTCCAACCAGGGGTTGGGGTCGGGGGGAGGGCCAGGGTTTCATTCTGGCTCTGCCATTCCATGCCATAAAACCATAGAGCTAGAAACAATTAGAACTCATCTGGCTCAATTGGTTCCTTCTTCAGATGAGCCTGAGAGATAAGGAGAAACTTCCCCAGAAGCACATAGCTCATGGGGGAAGCTGGCCTAGGGGGTTTCGAGGGTTTCCTTCACCTTCAGGAGTCCCAGGGCTTTGGTGGAAGGTGCCATGGGACAAAGCAGAGGTGAAGTCAGGTGCCGAGGCAGGGTCTGGAGATCTGATGTGCTCACCCAGGCCGGGGGCTCCTTCAGCTCGATCCTCACATGGGCCTTTCGGTTCTTGTACACAAATTCCATCAGCTTCTCCGCATCATTACCCCAGATCAACACCACTGGCCAAGTTAGCCCCAGGGGCTGCTGCAGCTGCAAGATAAAAAGTATCCACAGGGTTTCTGTGACTTCTCTTCCCTCCCCCACCCCCTGTCAAAACTTGATCTTCTTCCATCCAGCCCCTTGTCCAATACTCAAAGGGCCCCCACGTACCTGCTCGGCGGCAGCTCGGTCCTCAGTGATGTCAAAGAGGACGGCGCTGGCTCCTCGCTCACCCGCCATCCGCGCCTGCAGACACAGGGCAGTTTCAGCTAGAGTCAGAGAAGGACATAGCCCCTCCAGGGCCAGCCTCAGCCCCTCACAGATCTACCCCTTTCTAGGATTTTGCACACACTGCACTGCTGTATACTCAAATGTGGATATGTAAGGGGTCACTGGGTCTAGGATCCCCTGTCCTATCCCCTGAGCTCACTAAGGCCCCAGTGCCTTCAAAAGATAATATTCAGTCTTTCCTTTGGAATGAAACAAACCCTTGGTTTACTGGGTGCCAGGTGGTGGACCTCACTGTAGGGCCAAGGAAAAATAAGACACAGCCCCTGCTCACTGCTATCAGGGTTCAACCAGTCTGCCTTCCCTAAGGCTGGGAACAAAAACCAGGGAGTGCTCAGCACCCCAGGAGGACACAAAAGAGGATAGCAGGGAAGTGGAGAGAGCTCTCTCACAGCAGAGCTGGGCTTCCTAGGGCCCAGCCCCACCTCATAAGAGGAGCCTGCAGGGCACCTCCCCAGCTCAGGCCAAGTTCCAAGGGCCCAAGACACCACTCTCACCCAGGGCCTCCATGGCAAAACCCCAGCCTCAGCTCATCTGTGGGCTCTCTCTCTCTGCCATACTCTAGTTTGCCAACTCTTTCTCTGGCTCCAGTTCAAGGACTCAGAGAAGTCTCTCTCTAATGCTTTGTGCCTTTGTCCCCTGCTCTATGGTGGCATTAGAGGCTTGAGTGAGGAGGACTGCAAGAGGCTGTTCCCACAAAAGACATAACTGTGAGTTCGTGCACAGGCCTGTTCACCTGGGCTCCACAGGCCGGCCTGGGGACAGTCGCCGGGCAAAAGAGATAGCAGAGCCAGAAAGAGGACAAAGGCAGGAGTCTAGGGGGGATGTGTGTGGGGGCAGGAGAGGGAGATAAGAGCTGAGGGTGTGGTGCAGGCAAACGGCAAACAACCACAGACACTGAGGGAACCTCTCCTGGCCTTGGACGTGGGTACGGAGTATCTTGTCCAGCATAGCCACTCTCCAGCCTTCCTCCCCAGAGCAAACCTCATCTTGTAATAGCAGCAGGCTGCGCCTCACACCCCTGGGGCCCCTGCTGAGTCTCTGGGGTCTTCTCGTAGGCAGTGAAGGAGTTAACACTTCTGCAAGTAGTGGTGGCAGCAAGAAGGAGCCAGTGCAGGGACTTACTCACACTCTCAGCACTTTGATCTCTGCTTGTCTTCCCAGGGAGAGCCTGTTGGGGCAGGTCTCCTGCCAGGCAGGCTGGGAGCAGCTCCTTGCTCCTGGCTCTCTGCTCCCACTCCCCAGGCAGTAGCAGAGCCCAGGGGACCCCTCAGAACCTACTGCCCCAGGAAGGAGAGCTGGAGGAGGATTCCACTTTGGCCAAGAGGGTAGCTTTCCTCCTTCTTCCCTTCTTCCTCCAAGAGCTGGGCTGGGCCCTCTGCCTGCACCTAAGTCCAGCCTAGGCCCAGGTTTACCAGACTAACTGACTGGAAATTCCCAGGACTCCAGGGTGGAATGTGCTTAAGAACTCAACATCTTACCCCTACCTACTTCTATCCATCTGGGCTACTCCAGGCAGGTAGAAGCTCTCCAGTCTTCAGAGCCCTCCAAGCAAGGGTATAGGAGAAGTACCAGGGGAAAGGGAATCCTGGTAGGGAAATCCTACTAGTAATGTCATATTCCAGGGGGTTGGCCAAGGAGTAGGAGAGGTCACCCAGAAGTCACAGCATTAGGATTCCCAGGCCTTAGGTTTCCCATCCCTAGAAGAAGGGTCTGGGCCCACCTGGCCTGGAAGAGCATAAGGGAGGACAAAGACTTCGTTTTCAGGAGATTTTCTTTCTTCCCCACCCCTCTAGCTTTGAAGGATTGGGGTAGGAACAGTGGAAAGCAATTACTATGACATTCAAACACCCTGGCCCATTATAGCCCATAATTATAAAGCTGTAAAAGTGATCAAAGAGCTGGGACAGTTGGCCCATGGGAAAACAAACAGGACTTTCAGGCAGTGGGTTCCTGCATCCAGAGTTCTAGGAATAAAAAGATTTGAGGACAGATCTGGGACTACTCATGCCTCCTGTCCACCTACACCCAAGAAAGTGGGAGGCAGAAATGAAAAAAATGTTTCTAGACTTTAACATGAAGGGCAGAGAGAGTGTGGTCAGGCCATCGGGACAGGAAGACTGGGCTTTAGGAAGACAACCCAGAGATCTTTTTGGAAGCTTTGGAGTTGGCCAGCCCTTGAGTCAGCAAGCAAGGCTGCCCATGGCTCCCAGCAGCAGGGAGCCATGACACAAGGTGGTGAGAGGGAGCTGAAATTCTGTCTCTTACTTACTGGGCCTTAGATTTTCCTCCCCAGAGCATAGTCTCTATAGCTCTCCTACTTATCAAAAATTGAGCACATGCTTAAGAACTGGGCATGGTGGCTGACGCCTATAATCCTAGCAATCTGGGAGGCTGAGGTGGGTGGATTGCTTGACCTCAAAAGTTCAAGACCAGCCTGAACAAGACCAAGACCCTATCTCTACAAAAAAATAGAAAAACTGGTCAGGCATTGTGGCAGGTGCCTATAGTCCCTGCTCTTGGGAGGCTGAAGCAAGAGGATTGCTTGAGTTCAAGAGTTTGAGGTTGCTGTGAGCTATGATTACACCATGGCACTACTCAGGACAACAGAGTAAAACTCCATCTTAAAAAGAAAAAAAAAAAACCTTGAGCACCTACCATGCCCAGGGCACCAAGCTAGGGAAGACCAGGCCCTCCAGAACAGCTTATAATCTAGTTATGGAGACAAGGCACATACATAGAATTGTAATACTGATAATAACATTCTAGAACATAAAGGAATGAAATGGACAGTAGTTTCCAAACCTTTTTTCACTTTAGAATGCCCTTCCTTTCACTATTCCCTGCATTAACACACCTAAAATCCTCACAAATCTTCAATGAACTGAGACCCTATCTTGTGGAGGTATGCTCTGGTGGGAGGGATTTTTACTCTTACTGTGGTCAGGCGAGGCCAGGCAGGAAAGATTCAATAGAAAAATGGATTCAGGCACGGCACCTATGGCTCAAGTGGCTAAGGCGCCAGCCACATACACCTAAGGTCGTGGGTTCGAATCCAGCCCGGACCCGCCAAACAACAATAATGGCTGCAACCAAAAAATAGCCGGGCATTGTGGTGGGCGCCTGTGGTCCCAGCTACTTGGGAGGCTGAGGCAGGAGACTCGCTTGAGCCCAGGAGTTGGAGGTTGCTGTGAGCTGTGATGCCATGGCACTCTACCCAAGGGGACAGCTTGAGGCTCTGTCTCAAAAAAAAAGAAAAGAAAAATGGGATTCATCTGGGCTTGAAAGCAAGGGTGAATGGAAGACAGTAAGAGATATTACCTGTACTGAAATCTACTCTACCTAGACTGCCTAGATTGCAGTCCTGGCTCTGCTTGCAACTATTAGCTGTGAGACTTTGGGCAAGTCTCAGTTTTCCTTTCTGTAAAATGGGATAATAATAGGGTTGTTGTGAGGACTACATAAATTAATCCATGTAAAGCACTTAGCATAGTGTAAGTGTTCCTTAAGTGTTAGTTATTGTTAAATCAACTATTACTGTGTACTTTGCATATATGATCACATTTAATCTGCACAACTCTACAAGACAGTCATCAGCACTTCTCTTGAAGTGAGGAAATCATGGCTCAGAGAAACTGAATAATTTGCCCAGGGTCACCACCTGATAAGTGGTAAAGACAGGATTTCTGCCTAGGACTTTAGGCTCCAGAGTGCCTGCTCGCAAGCACCAGGTAGTGGTCTCCACAGTAAGCAAGGCAAGGCCCATCTGCTTGTCTCAGGATCTAGTTCCTTCTACCAGGCAAAAGGCCACTGTATTAGTACAGGCGTGAGGTGATAAGGGCCTGGCTTATCACAGGATGGCTGTGGAGCTGCTAATAAAGAAACAGAAACCAATCTGAGTGACTGGATGGGGGAAGGGTGGAAGAGGTAGTGAGACTGGGGACGGGAATGGAGGAATCCAGAAGAATTATGGTGAGGGTTTCAGAGTAGAACAAGAGACTTAACAAATGGAAGAAAAAAATCCCCCAACCTTGTTGACAATAAAACCATGGAAGGAGGATGCCAATGATGATGACAGCAATGGTGACTGCAATCACATGCTGAGTGGTTACTATGTGCTTGGCAGAGGACTAAGAGTGTCTGTCCGTACTGTCTCATTATATCCCCATAACTTCTTATAAGTCTCTTTATTATTCTCCTTTTACAGATGAGGACAGAGGCCCCAAGAGGTGAGCTACAATGTCCAGGTTACACTGAGAGGTGGTGGAGGAACCAGGCATTAAACTCAGGGCTATCTGGCTTGAGAGCCCCGCTCCCTCAGTGGTGACAGCACCATTGGCACTGCTAGGAAAAGCCAAAGCAGAGCTACACAGAGTCGGTCATCTCCAAACTTTTCCCCACCAGAGACCCCATTTTTTCCTTATACTTCCCATGAGCCTCCCATGAGCCATATGTAAAAAAAGAAAAAAAATACATCTACCAAACTAACTACATTTATTATGTATGATTCATTTTCCCATGAGATAATTTGTATTAGTACATTGAACTGATAGAATTCCTACCAAAAACAAAACCCAATAATTTTATTATTTGAGACAGAGTCTCAGTCTGTCACCCGGGATAGAGTGTTGGGCGTCATAGCCTCAGCCTCCTGAGTAGCTGGGACTATAGGTGTGCGCCACCACCCCCAGCTAGGTTTTTTCTATTTTTAGTAGACAGGGTCTCGCCCTTGCTCAGGCTGGTCTTGAACTTCCAAGATCAAATAATCTGCTCACCTCGGCCTCCCAGAGTGCTAGGATTACAGGTGTGACCCACTGCACCAAACCCAAACCAAGAATTTTAGTCAAGCCTGTGGGACTTCTAAAATATTAGAGGTGGCTCAAAGACCCATATGACTGTTCCCATAGCCCTCCTTTGAGCCAGAGGATCCCAGGTGGGAGCTACGTGGCTAGTCAAAGAATGTGAGCTGAGGGCAGGCTTGGACCTACCCACCTGGAAGCCCCTGGGGAGGCTGGGGCTGGAGCATTTCCCACGGAATGATGGGGGGAAACCCCAGCGAGAGGGCAGCAAGCAGAGCAGGGGGAAGAAGCAAGTGAGGTCACAGGGCGAGAGCCAAGGGATTTCTTCTAAACCCTCAGTGGTTTTTGTTCTTGTGTTTGTTTTAGCTCAGGTATTGTTTGGCACTTGGCACACGCTATTTTCATCCTCACAATAATCGTGGGGGTAGGAAGTAAAAGTGCCGTTTTATGGTGACAGAAACAAAGACGCAGTTGGATTAAGTAGTTCAAGGGCCCTCCCTCACATCACAGTGTCTGGGCACCCAACTCATCTCTCCCATACAAGTGTGGCCTCCCAGAGGGCAAGGACAAAAGCTGCCATGTGGATGCGACCTTGAAGCTTACCGAGTGTTTGCAGGTATGTGAAATCATGCACTGCTTTAAAAGAACCGCAGAAACTCTGGCAGGCACAATTTTAGATATTCCTGTGAGCTTATTTACGCTTTTCTGTCAAGTTTCCAGAATGAACGTATATTGCTTTTATAATAGGTAAAGAGAACAGCGAGTTTCTCTGAACCATTCCTCCTCCGCCTTTCTTCTCTCTCTCTCTCTCTCTCTCACACACACACACATACACACATGCTCTACTCACACCCTACCTAATACAGAACAAGTACTAAGATTTGTTTACCAAATGAATAAATGAATGATATTTGCTCATAACTTATAAAGCAAGGAAAATGAAATGTCTAGAAGCAAACCAGCTTCAGCCTAATAAAATTCTGCTGCCGTTAAGGACTCTCACAGAGCTGGGCACCATGGCTCATGCCTGTAATACTAGCACTTTGGGAGGCTGAGACAGGAGGATTGCTTGAGGCGTGGAGTTCGAGACAAGCCTCGGCAAAAGCAAGATCCTATCTATGTAAAAAATAGAAAAATTAGCCAGGCGTGGTGATACATGCCTGTAGTCACAGCTAATCGGGAGGCTGAGGCAAGAGGATCGCTTGAGCCCAGCAGTGAGTACAGTGAGCTATGACAACACTACTGCACTTTAGCTGGGGTCACAGAGTAAGCAGACCTGGTCTCACACACACACAAAAAGGAACCCTCTTGCAGCCATGCAGAGACACTACTCTCTCCAGCTCCCTGCAAAGTGTCCTGCCTGCCCCTGATCACTCCCTGGGACCCCCTTCTGCATTAGCATAGCCAGGCCAGGCCCCTGTTGGATGAGGTGAGAATCCAGACTGTTTCCTTGAGCCCCCAGCAGGATGAGGGGATCCACAAGGGATCTGGGCCTGAGTACGGGGAGCTGCCACGAAGGCCGGGGCTGTCCCTCTCCTCTCCTCTCTCACCAGCTCCAGGAGCCACACACACTCTGGATACACTCTACACATGCATTCAGTTTGCACAACTAGAATGGGAAGCGAGAGATGAAGAGCCTCGGTTTGAGAAACAGACAGGGCTGGTTCAAATCTTGATTCTCCCCCTTCCTAATGATGTCATCCTAGCAAGTTACTTAATTTTTCTGATCCTCCCTTGCCTCATGGGTCAAATAGAGAATAATGTCAACTTTCCCTAATTATGGAAAGTGAGACAATTATGCAAAGAATCTGTCTCATGTCCATCTGGCACATAATAGCATACAGAAAACAGTAACTGTTATTATTAGTTAAAGCAGAGGCCACCCAGACAAAGACTTAGAGGGCCTAGGAGGCAGTAGGCTGGAGTGGAATATGGCAAAGGAGCGGCCACAGCTGGAAGAGGGGCCACCCAACCCAGCTCCCCCATCAACCCACAGAAATGCAGGGCGAGTGTTGCCAGAGTGTTTGTGCTTTCTTTCAAGGAAGTTGAAAATCTGGATGTTTTTAACATTTAAAATTTTGGACCATGGCAGTTAATTTACATTTTGAAAAGTCATAAACTCGACCCATCTGTAAGCCAAACCCAGCCTGCAGGCCACCCCTTTGCAACCTCAGAGGAAAAGCCTGAACTTATTAAAGGGTAGGGGCAATGGCTTCTACAGGCAGTCCCCTGGCTGCAAACAAGATAGGTTCTGTAGGTTTGTTCTTAAATTGAATTTGTATGTAAGTTGGAACAGGTACATTTACCTATGACCTGTAATAGCCTCCCTCTGTAGGTACAAGTCATAAGTAAGTTGGAGGTTTGTAACTCAGGGACTTACTATAATAGCCTCCATTTGTAAGATCGAGTTATACATAAAGTTAGATGTTTAAAACTCAGGGACTGCCTGTATTTCTGCTATTTTTAAATGGTACTCAGGAAATAGTTCTGAAAGATAGAAGAACACAACTCACCCCCTCTTTGCTCTAGTGCTGGGTAGGGGAAGAACTCCTAAGGAACTCCGAAGAGAGCGGGGAGGAGATGGGGTGGGGAGGGTGCCTGGATGAAGTTAGAGTCCTCCTGGTGCTGGTTGGTGGAGGAAGGACAGAGGCATGCATTTCCATCTCCCTCAGGCCAGCCATGGGTTAAGAAAATCTGAGGGACATCACTCTTAGGAGAGCACAAGGGCTCTTACAACCCAGAGCTGGATGAAGGTCACGGCATGTGTAGGGTCAAGTGTGAATCTACCTTGCTGGCCAGGGACAGGCAGGGACGTGGGGCCCGTCGGGGACTCTCCAGCTTGACGATGCTGATGAATCCAGGTTCCAGGTTATCATCATCACTGGCATTGCACAAGTACAGAGGATGGGACTGCAGAGAGAAACAGACAGACTTGGATTAGGGAGGCTCCAAGGAGCAGAAGGAGCGAACTGTGAGAGCCGAGCACTTCTATGTTGCTCTGGGCAGGTCCTGGGCAGGTCTTGGTGCTGTGAAAGAGCGGGCCTTATTACCAACTGCCCCACAGTTAAGCTAGTAACCGTTAGTTGTCATTTCACGTATGCCAGGGCCAAGGACACAGGCAGGTGGACACAGATGGGAGGGAGGAGTGCCTGGCGGGGCCTCAATGACGAGCCCACTGTAGGGCACTCTAACAACCTTAAGCCCTACTTTTCCAAACCGGCAGGAGGTAGAGGGCTCTACCTGGTCCCCAAACCCCATGTGTGCCCACATCAGTGTTCTCAGAACCTTGCCTTCCTCCTGCTCCCCAGGGGCAGTGCTGGGTCCTGCCTCCCTCATGAGGCCCGTCTCCTCTCACTGGTGCTGCCTGGCTACTCTCACTGCCCTCTTTGCCTCGCCCTGTGCCCATGCTGGGATCAAGCAGGGTGCTGAGATGGACTGCAAGCAGCAGGCCTGGCATAGAAAGGAAAACAGCAGACGAGGCTGGAAAGACGAAGACCAACAACAGTCAGGGCAAGGAGACTATCCCGGGATTAGGCTTGGCTGAGACTTAAGCCCTGAACAGGAGTTCAGCCATGTGCTCGGAGGGTGTGGCAGGTCCAGTCCAAGGCCCCATGCCTCGAACTCAGCTGCTGCTGAATCATGACTAAAGGTGAGGTGCACCAAGAGGAGCTGACAGGGATGTGAGGAATGAGACTTTAATGTCTCTCTTCTCATTCAAGAAGATGCTAACACCCATCTGAATCTGATTTTCCCGAATGGACTGTCGAAGTGCTGTGAGAACAAAGTATGATTTATTTGCTCCTGGATAATCCTATGGGGTAGGGACTCTTATATGGTGGAAACTCAACATATCCTGGGCAAGAAATGAATTTTCTACCCGAGAGTGCTGCCCACACTTCCCACTCCACTGCTGCTGAAGTCTGAAGGGCTTATGCACAGAGTCATCCAAGGAACCTGTAAGAATTTTTTATTTATAACAGTGTTTATCAGGATAATAATGTCAATAATGGACTTAAAAGCACAGTCATTTGCTGAAAGCAATGTCAGGCTGTTTCTTCTCACTGTTTGACTGTAGTCCCTTGAACACAGTAGGTTCTCAATAAATATGTACTACCTGGCTTTCAATTGTATCCTTGTGAATAAAAATCACTGGGCAGGGAGTGTTGAGATGGGAAGGAGTGCCATTCTTTCTCCCAGAATCTGACTACTAGTCTGGTGGTGATCAAGTTTAGTGTGGGAGAAGGTGATGCACCCCAGTACCTAGACAAAGGCTGGAGCGTGAGAGTGGAACTCCTCTCACTTCAGTGAGACTAAGACTCTATCTCCACAAGCTCCACCAGTCTGACTGTCCAGGTATCCAACTACCTATCCATTCATTTCTTCATTCTGCCAACACTGGAGGCTTCCTTGGTGCCAGACACTGTATAACACACTGAGGAATTCATGATGAATAAGACAGGCTCCTTGTAGAGCCACAGGGGAGGTCAGAAGAAGGAAGAGGAGCATGCAGACACACTGTGCGGTGGTGTTGATGTGAGTTTGTTAGAGGGTCTGTGAGAGGGCACATGGAGAGAGGAATAACAGTCCCCTGTGGGAGGGCAGAGATGTTTTCATAAGAGGTGACTTGAGAGCTTCCTATGGGCTGAATAGGTATGTGTTCACCTGGTGGACCAATCAAAGGGGTTACAGTGGGCAGGTACATTTTGGCAGAGGAAGCAGCCAGGCTGAGCCATGGAGGCACAGAGGCGCAGCACAAGGTTGAGATGGACTGCAGGCGGTCAGGCCTGGCATAGAAAGGAAAACAGTAGACAAGGCTGGAAAGACAAAGACTAGCAAGAGTCAGGCCATGGAGGGTTTAAGAAGGGTCCCTCTGCCGACTGCAGAACAGAGTCTGGTGTGGTGAGGAGTCAGATGTCAGCTAGTCCAACACGGCAAAGATGTGAGACCTTCCCTCAGGAAGAACAGATATCTGCTGCTTTGGACATCTCTTGCTGAGCCCAGGTCAACTGGGAGAGGGGGAAGGTCAGTCTGGAAGAGAGCAGTCCATACAGTAGGACTTGTGAATATTTAACCAGCACTCTGGCCCCACGCCTTAATGGGGAACCAACTCCTGCAGAGCAGTGCTGTATTGTAGGACACCTCTGACAAGCTGGAAGGGAAAAACACCTGCTGTCAGAGTCACCAGACTTGCCTGGTTCTGAATTAACAATGATAGAAGAAGGAAAGGGAGGAAATTAACTATTCCTGGAAGCTTCTTGTGTGCTAGGGCTTTAGATGTTATCTCAGTATGAGGTAGGCGCTATCACACCCATTTAAAGAAGAGAAGATCAAGGCTCAGAGAAATAAAGTTCACATAAGATTAGAATTCAGCTCTGACTCCATCCTCTGGAGTCCTGCAACTCCAAACACCGAGTCAACAGTCCATTGTCTGTGCTAATAAGGAAGATGAGGATGATAATAGTTTATATTTATTAAGTAAATCCTATGGGCCAGTGATTGTTCCGCCTTTTCATTCTCATAACAACACTATGAGGCAGAAACTATTATTCTCATTTTAAAGAAACCAAGGCACTGAAAGACTAACATCTCCAAGATTGCGTAGCTAGTAAGTGGCAGAAATCAGAAAACATGAGGAAAAGTAGGATAAGTAAAGTTACATTTGATTTTGAAAATATGGTACCTTTACCCAATTGTCTGACCAAGAAAACTCACCTTACTCAAGCATAAAGGCCCAAACACAAGTCCCTGAAGTGGTGGCAGCGACCCCCAGGGATTCTTAGACCCTCTTCTCTTTTCATGTTTCATGCTTTCTCTGGTGACCTCAGCCAATCCTGTGGCCTTGGTGTCCACACAGAGATTGCTGATTACATATGCACGGCTTAGTCTTCTTTTGAGCTCCATATTATGCCCAGCAGCCCTTTGGACATTTCTACCTGAAGAACCTTAAGGGAGACACCTCAAACTTGGTGTGTTCAAGACTAAACTCTATTCCCCAGAACGAATCCTCCAGTGTTCCCTACGTCAGGGATTGGAACCCCTATCCATTAGCCAAGCCAGATGTCTTCCTGATCGCCTCCGACGCCCCCAACCCCACCAATACCCAATCAATCACCGAATTCTAACAGTTCTACCTCCTGTTTACTTCTCCTGTCCTCTTTCTTCCATTCTCACCCCGTCTACTCTAGTATGAACCACCATCCTTGCTATCCTCATTTACTAAAATAACTTCTCACCTAGGGTCACTTCACCCCACTCTATATTGTAGACAAAGTGGTTGAAAATGCTAACTTGAGTAGCTTTCTATTTAAAGCTACTCAAGAGCTTCCAAGAGCTGTGTGGAGCTTCCAAGGCTCCACACAGCTCTTGGAAGAAAGTCTGCACTCTTCAGTGTAGCTTAAAAGACCCCGCCTGGGCTGGGCCCTGCCTTCAAGCCTTGCCTCCTGGCTTAACAGTCTCTTCCTTTCTCCTCACTTTCACAACTCATGCTCTAGAAATCATGACTTGTCTCATTTCCCTGGACACTTGTGGCACCTGTTGCTCTGTCCTGCCTTTCCCTAATCATAGACTTATCCCGCTCCACTGCAATTGTCTGCCTACTTCCTGCTATCCCCTGGACTATGACAGAGTCGAGTCTGCCCTACTCTGCCCCTTCTGGGGGCCTGCTACATGGTAGGTACTCAGTATCTGTTGACTAAATATTGAAAGCCCACAATCAGATAACTGATAGTTAATTACCAAGACAACACCGTGCACATCAAAATCCTGATAATGGTTGCTTTGGGAGAGAAATTCGAGAGGCGATGGTAAAGAGAGACTTTGACTATTTCAATAACAGGATAACATACTGAGATACTGAGTTTTTGCTGTCATGGAAGAATAAAAAAGAATGAGAGATATTTATATGTGGTTCCAAGTCTTTTCTTCCCTTCTGCTCTAAGAAGGTAGCCTCACGGTCTAGTTCCTTGCCTCGGGGGCATTTGCCAAAAGCAAATTTTGCTTAAAGACCTCCCTTCTGGGCTCTTTTGAGAAACCCAACTCATGAAGGAAGTGAGTGTCTGGGAGGCAGAAAGGAGTGTATGTGGCAGGGGTGGTGGTGGTGTACATGGGGGTGGTTCAGAATCTCTCCAATGGTGGGGAATCTGAGGGAGGGTTCTGGGCACGTGCTGCAGCCTGTACCCCAGAAGGGTGGGCCCCTGGAGTATGACTGTGTGGGTTCCCTGGGAGGCAGGACCCTGGCAGAGATAAGGTACCTACATGGATTTCAAGGGAACATGTGTGTTTGTCCAATGGACATATTTGTAGTGACCAGTATGAGCAAATATCAGAGAGGTCCCTTGGATATTTTAATTTTCTTTTTTTTTTT